TGTCATCATTAATAATCAAACCAAGTTTGAATTATTTCCTGAAATTTACAATTTAGACAAAGCACCTAAGCATCTTTCATTCACAAAAGAGTGTTGATTCTAGTACATCTGAATCTGGAGAAGAAGATTTCTGAAGCATTGTTCACCTCAGGGAATGGGGCAGGAATGCCAAATTTACAATTTGATAACCTCTTCCACCAATGATGATTCTTAGTAAGTTTGAAAGAAATGCATGAATGCACTGCTTCCTAAGAAGAATTAAAAAAAAATAAGTTTGGAAGAAAAGTGTTTAGGTCACTTTAGCCTTTGTTCCTGTATACTGTATGGTAAATATTCTTCCATCAATACTTGAATATTTTAATTACCATATAAAGAAATAAGAAAATCACTAAAACTGATGGTTTGTGCTCCCAAAGAAAGGAATTTGTGATTGGAATAAAGGTTGCATGATACATGTATCTTTACCTGAAATGTATCATGCCTGGCATTATTATTATCTCAGTTTACGTACGTAACTGTGTAAAGTGAACGAACAACCAAAGAGGTATGCAACAAAGCTTGTCTTTCTTCTGTACATCACTTGCCTTTGCTTTGGAGGTATACAGGGTAAGAATTATTTGACCTTTGAACTTAATGAGACCTTGACCTTGACTATACAGACCCCATAGTGGTACTACATAATATACTGCCTAATAATCTTGCATATATAACTTATATTGAGTTATCTTCATCAAATCAGAAGTGCCCTGAAAAAAAATTTGACATATGACCTTCAATGTGACCTTGCCCTCCAGGCAAAGGGACCAAATAGTGGTATGTAACATATATATTGCCTTACTATCCCGCATACATATATATCACTAAAATTTCATTGCTGAGACTCTTCAGCAAGTCAGAAGTTATGGTCCTTTTTATGGCTCGGGGATCATAAAAAGAGACAATAGTCCCAAATAATCCTATAAAGTATCAATAGATAAAACAACAGACTTCTGATTAATGTCACATAATTTATTGGTTGCTACATTTACAATGAAAGAGTGAATTTTGAAGTAATCATCAAATAATGACATCATAATCACTTTAGACAGCATCTATGCACATTGGTGACTTTCCTCTGTGTTGTAAATTCCCAAGCCTGCAAAATACAAGATTTAATACATAATAGAAATAAATTGTATGAAGTTTGTAGATCAATACATAAATATAAAGATAATTCTAATGTTGACAGTGCCCTCACAGCTACAGAATTTTAATAACTACAAGTCTGGTTTCATATACAGCTGACAAAACAATCATGTACATGTTCAACTCTAGTATATGTATATGCAGTTAAATAGATTGCAATATTCTCCTAAATCATGCTAATAACTATAATGGCTATAAATCTGTATCAAATGAAAGTTTTGAAATGCCACTGTTAAAGCTTAGATAGGAATACACTTGATAAGATTTCAAGGAGTCAAAAACATAAAACTATTATGATATACCTATGCTAGCTATAGGTAAATTTCAATCCAAATAAAACTGATGGTGAATGCATGTATGTCAAATTGTACATAGAACAAGAAAGTTGTATTAAGGCATTCTCTCAACACAATAACATCAACACTACAACATATGATATACCATCAATGCATCTGTATCAAATTTTGATGATCATATAGCATATAACAATCCAAATCAATAATGAGTTATGTGTATCATACTGTCAGTCAGGTATTACATATGTGTAAACTATTGCTGTACAGACAACTATCATGCACATATGTACTTTCATACACAGTTATTATACACATACATACTAGCGCTACCACACACAGTTATTATACACATACATATCACACACAGTTATTATACACATACATACTATCACACAGTTATTATACACATACATACTATCACAGTTAGTATACACATACATATTATCACAGTTATAATACACATACATTTATCACACACAGGTAACACACATACTATCACACACGGGTATTACACACATACTATCACACAAAGTAATTGTTCACATACATACTATCACACACAGTTATTGTACACATACATACTATCACACAGTTAGAAAGGGGAAGCAACTCTGTTTACGTGCGCATATGTTACCATTAAAGAGCTTCGCTCGGGTGCCTTCGGCTCCCAATAGCTACGCTCTTATTACACAAATCAAATCAAATTTACAATAGAAGGATTAAGAATAAGAAATATTTCCATATTAGCATTTGGTTAAGTACATAGATTAAAGAAAAAAAGATTATTTTTATATCCATACATAATCGTTTCATTTCATTTCAGGACGTAAACAAGCGACATACTGATTATTTGAGTGCACTGTTGAGTAACTGTATTGATGGCCGTTTCAGCAAAATAAATCCCCGATTGTGCATAGAATATTCTGCTACGCTGCACAAAACAAAATCGGGGAGATTTCTACATCAGAAATTAGATTTCTACATCCACACAGATGAAATTGAAAAGGGATTTATTTCTAGTATACTGCATCGAAATAAATACTAGCGTTGATAGCACATTACCGTGCTGATCATATTAAATGCTAATGGAGCTAGGCTTACTTGTGGACATTTTTTAATGGCGGGGATTTATTTTATATTGTACTGTATGAGAAATCTGACTTCAAATCCCTTCACATTTATGTAATGATAGGTAAATAAAATCTCTTCTATATTATTATAATGACATTGATGTACCAAGTTCATTCTATTAAGCACCCCACCTGCACCCCCAAACCCCATTTTGGTCCAAGCTCTCCATCCCTTGACCATAATTTACCAACATACTAGATTAAAAAAAGTGTTCTTTAAGCGAATTGTTTTGGGGTTTTTTTAGATTTTCTGAAGGTTCCAAAATAATTTTAAATTTTCCCAAATGGCTAAGCGGCCAGGGAAATTATTCAGTATTTGTAGAATATGGTATGTTTTTTATACATTATATTTCTCATTGAATTGAAAGGTTCTTTGATAGATCTTTGATAGATTGATGTTTAAAGGCCTACAAATTATAGAATGATTTGTGAATTGAATTGGGTGATTTGGTTTTATCATGGAATTGGAAAGTAATTGGGGAAATTTACATGTATTACATTTGTAGTTCTAAAGCTGGATATAGTTTCTGCTTTCAACTCCCAAAACTTTCATTTTGTAGCATGTTTGTCCTTTTTTTTAACAAATTTCTGATACAGAAGATTAAAAACATTTGTCAAGACTTGTCAAGAAATGAAAATCAAATTTACAGTTAATAAAAAGAGGTTTTTTTGGATCCAAAGAAGGGGAGCTACAACTATTATCATACCTCGTCTTTATACTGAGTACCAGTGTATCTGATTGGATGATACTGGTCACATGACAGGGCAATAACATATCATGTCACCCTCACGCTCTCAAGTTTCCTCACTAATATTTTCTTATTCGGAGCCTCTCTAGAGAATTCCCCAAGAGCCACACCACAACCAAGTTCCAAATGACAGAAGCAGACGACAACAATGGCGTGTCAACCTGATCATCTCTACTATTGTGTTATTGTTTTTCATTTTTTTTTCATAGTAAAATATTTAATGTCCTTGAAGTAGGTAAACATGATTCTTTGTTTCCCCTCCATTTATCATCATTTTTTTTGAGAAAACGACGTAATTTTCTCACACAAACTAATGACGTAACAATCAATATCTGCTCACAAGAGTAGATAACTCTGCAATACGAAAAGACGGAATACGCTAACTGCGTAATTATTATTTTCTTGCAAAAGCAAAACCTAACGTTTTGTTTTCATTCTTTAGAATTTCCTGCACTTTCTCTCTTTCCCATCCCCAACTCCAAACAATGTTTTGGACTAGCAATATCTCCATGACAAATCAAACTTGTTTACCAAGTTTGTTTGTCTGTTTAGCCTTGGTACTCCAGGGGTTACGCTTCTCTGCACATCTGGACTGTGTCATTACAAAATCGAAGGCTCAATCTGTACCACCTTGTGGATGAGACAAGAAGACTAGTTTGAACCCTTGATGTTCATCAAAAGAATCTGAATCTTAAGAATCTGTAATGATAAAATTGACTGGCTTTGAAGTCGGGTGTCTCTCCTTTTTAATCTTCTTGGTATCAGTCTTATAATTAGAGATTGGTCAGGTGTTTTTTTTACCTGAAACCAATAAAATAGCTTGCTGTGTCCTTTCAATTTTGCTATGACATATTCAAGGGATGTAAGGAACGAAACTGAGCGTAACCCGGGTCCCTGGAGAGTCGAGGGTACAATAGGGGCTGCTGATCAGTTTGTTTCTTCAATGTCCGGCCCATATATACAAAAGACAGCAAAGATCAAACTCTTGATACCACAGAGGCCCCCATGTTATTCTCATTTTACTACATGCAGCAGGTATATTCTTTCCCATAACCTGAAGGACATAAGAAACTCTTGGTACAAATATCCAATATGCATAAAGGCTTAACATAAATCATGTTATTTTGAAGTTAATGAAAAAATAGTTATTGTCCTATTGACAGTTTAGTGTAAGCACTGCATGATTTATAAATATATGTCCTTTTAAAATTGATCGGAATCATTTTGAATAGCTCAAATTGAGTTATTGAAAAAGTACAGGTGTCCTTTTGAAATTCTATATTTTTTGCCTCAACATGATATGATATGAAGACGGTGTACCAGCAAGCTGTGCAATTTTTATTGAATTAATTCAAAATAAATTGTATCGATAGGTGAAATTTATTCTAATGGAACCTACCAATATTTGACGATATATAATAATACTCTGACTTAAGAAGGCTTAACACCAAAAGTTATCTCCCTTCGTTATATTTTTTTTTATTCATTTTTTTTAATAATCACATTTTACTACGATCACATGAACATTACATTTTTTTCATATAAATATTTTCGTTCTGTAACTATATAATAATCAGAATCGGTATATATATACGAGTCTGACTCCATAACTGTTTTCTCATGTATGTACACAGTTTGTATTAATTTAAAGTATATTTCCATCCGGATATTTCACGTTTTTTAAAGACAAGGACAAGTACCAGGACATATGTAAGTATGACAGATCATTTCTGTATTATAAAATCTGGCATCATGACTTACAACTGAATTCAAAAACAGTATAAAATTTAATTTCAAATTCTCGTTGATAATATTGATTTCTATTAGATTGTAACACAAATTTGCACAATCTTTCATAAACATCGATTTTTCATTGACGATTTTTAATTACGATATTACATGTGATATTTATACAAAATTGTCAAACATTATTTATTGGGTGATAGATCAAATAATTCCATACAATTAAGCGTTCATCAAATTACAGACATCTTTACTATCTGTAGGTGTGTAAAACTATGAATTGATTTTCGTGTCATGGTAAACGGTAACCTTTTGAAGTCATAGCTGTCAGAAAAATCTGTCGTTTTTAGAAAGTTCGACTCTCAGTTAAGAATATGAATAAGCTACACTTACCTGTATGAAATCTAAACAACGGTTTTATCCCACGAAAATAAGAAATCCACTCTCACACTAAAAATATCCGTCATGGTTTTCACTGACCACTGTCCACTCTCGTTAATAATGGGGATATTTCGTTGACGGCTCTCACACTGGCATCAGTGCCATTGTCACCTCTCGAACTGTGTGGCTTAATGTCAGGTGGGAGTTTATTCCACTCGGGTATAGTTCTAGGGAAGAATGATGCCTTTCTGGTCTGGGTTTTTGAGTGGGGAATTTGATACGAAAACTGGTGGTTTGTTCGGGATTTTCTAACTGTAGGGATTAATCTGTCTGATTTTACGATAGCGACTCTCTGGTTTACAATGTTATGAAGCATGGTCAGACGAGCATCTCTACGTCTATCTGCTAGAGGGCGCAGCTTTAGGTGGTCCAACATTTCTGACACACTGGAGGTACGATGGTTGTACCTGTGCTAATTGATCACATAGCGCGCTGCTTTTCGCTGGACCATTTCCAACTTGTCAATATTTGTTTGGATGTGAGGGTCCCGTACTGTACAGGCATACTCAAGTGATGGTCGAACTAATGATTTGTATGCCTGTACTTTGTCTGATGTTGAGCGAATTTTAAGATTTCGTCTTAAAAAGCCTAGCGTAAAATTTGCTTTTGGGCAGATAGTATTTATATGTGAATCCCATTTAAGGTCAGATGATAGTGTTACACTTAGATACTTGGCCTGACTAAGATGTTCCAGTATGTGTCCATGTAAAGTATAATTTTGGACTATTGGAGTTTTGTTTTTAGTCACCGACAACACATTGCATTTGTTTGGGTTTGAAAATCTTTGTCCACGTATTTTCCCAGAGCGCTAGTTTGTCAAGATCTTTTTGAAGTGTTTCAGCATCGCTGTTTGTCTTGATAACTAGATATGCAATAGTGTCGTCTGCAAATAAACGGATTGTAGCATTTAGACCTACAGGGATATCGTTTATAAAGTAAAGAAATAAACTGGGTCCCAAAACTGACCCCTGGGGTACCCCGGAATGGACATCGACAAACTCAGACTTCTCCCCTTCAACTACAACTGTCTGAGTTCTACCGGTCAGGAAACTCTCGATCCAGTTTGCGACATTTCCACGTATACCATAATGTTTTAGTTTATGGTTTAGGAGAGAATGACTGACCTTGTCGAACGCCATAGAAAAGTCCATTATGAGGATATCTGTTTGGCGTGATCGCGATTTGCGAAAACCATGTTGGAATGGATACAATATGTTATGGGTATCGGCATGGGTCATGATAGTTGAGACCACAATGTGTTCCATAATTTTGCTACAGATACAGGTCAGAGATATGGGCCTGTAGTTTTCTGGTTAAAATTTTGGACCCTTTTTATAAATGTAATTACGGAGGTTTGTAGAATTCCCTGACGACGTGGAGATTCTCAGATATAACCAAGCCATGATTTGAGGTTCAACATTTTATTCGTCCGGGAGTTTCATTCTTGTTAATCATTAAAATATACAAATAAGACACTTACATTTCGTATCGAACGCACCTGACTAAAATAACGCAATACACAATACATACGTACATTGATTGTAACATTCCACACCACACGTTTTCCAAACGACCAGACTATAACTGGACAATACATAATTGACGAGATAATTTACACTATGGCGTACGCAATAATATATAAATGTGGTTTATTAAATGGTACGTTCTCCATTTATAAATATATAAACTAGAATTCTAGTGAGAATAAATACATACGCTCTCCTAAATGACAAAAATATTGACCACGCCCGTCGGCGAAAATATAAAAGTAAATTAGAAATAGTCAGAAAATAATAATTTCAAGAATAAATAATACTTTACTTCTAATTCTATACTAGTTCCGAATATATAAAAAGTATTATTCTAGCCTTTAAAATAAGCAGAACATTGACCTACCTTGTATGATACCTGGGAAAGACTCCGTTCATGATGCTAATAATGTAGATTGAGATGAGGTAATCGATGTGTTCAGTATGGAAGGTATCGATGAAATGGGCAGATAGAAAGTTCAGAGGAAGCGAAGAAAACTTCAGGGCGGGAAAGATGCACGCAATGCGACAGATGTCATAGGTCATTGGTCAAGTTGTCAAACTAGTTTACAAAAGACATGCACAACATACACAATACGTCACATAGACCACACACGTATACACATCTAAAAACGAAAGTAGCGATGACGTGATACGGCGACTTCGGTAGTGAAAACGCGGCACGGATAACGGAATGAAAGAACAAAATACGGATTAAAATATAAATAATGAAATCGTCAATTATATTGTTACTAAAGAACTCATATTCAGTATGTTCCCACTGAGTATGTACTTATTCAAATAATTATGAATATTAAAATAACAAGGGTGCTACAAAAACAGGTGATACATTTGCAGATTTCAAGTCTGAAGACACTATGCCTGTTTCCAAAGACTGATTAAATATTAGGGTTAAAATTGGGGCTATTTCTGTTGCAAGCTCTTTTACTGTAGTACTCTGGGTTTGATGTCATCAGGGCCCGAGGCCTTGTATGGATTTAGACCTTGGAGCAGTTTTAAGACGCCCTTTTCATGTATAGAAATTTCAGGCATGGCAGGGTATTTTATCGTGAGTAGGCATGTTGCATCTAGTGCGAAACTGCTGGTCGGTAAAGATTTCAGGGGGAGTAAAAACAGATTGAAATTGTGCGTTTAGCATATATAATACCTATCTAGGGTTAAATGAATATAAAGATTAAGCCTCGGACTGGTCACTTTATTCTCTATGTCCAGCTACTCCGGACATTTAAATGACCGACCATTTTAAACACAAAATGTACATGTTGGTATATGTACCCATATCGGGTCCGTTTTATTACTTTGTACAAACGCAACAACATCGTCGACGACAGGTAAAGCTTAGCCCTGAATGTATCCGTTCAAATGTGAAAATACTTCTTAGTGAAAGTATTCCTGTTTAATGATGCGTGAACGATGTTGGCATATGATCAACACTTTAAAATGGCTTTACATTTTAAATTGATGCGTAACGTTAGAATAAATTACGTACACGTCGAAGAATGAACCTTTATGTTTTTGCCTTTAATCTTTTCAGATGCTTATTTAAATTGATATATTGATAAACACGATATATCACAAACCCTTACCGACACATGATATATACTAGAAAACTTATGCTATACTGTACAATTAGCAGCGTCCGTGTATATGAAACCGCCATACATGTCTATTGCCTCCTCCTTCCATTTGCCACATCGCTATTAAAAAATAACGTCATTTTTTTTTAAATCCCAAAAACCTTTCAACAATTCCGGTATATATTTTGCTTGATGTATCGCAAACTTGCGTTATATAATGACAATATATCGTCGGATAAACAGTGGCAGTAACACGAGGGTTCACTGTAGATATATCTCTACTGCCACGGTATTAGATTTCTAAGTCCGTGCTCCTGCCCATAGTTCCTTGCTATCTCATTAACACTATTTATAAAACGTGTTTTCAATGCTCACTTTTCTTTTTTTTATCTACCAGTTTTTGTCCCTCGAAGTTTTCGAGAAATTCAGTTAAGCTTTTTAAACGGGTGTTCGTTATAGACAGTGAACGTTATAGACACGTGACCGTTATAGATGTACATGTTATCTTTAATTTATAGACAGGCGTTCGTTGTAAACACGTTGTCGTAATATCCTTGTGGTCGTTATAGACACGTGACCGTTATATACAGGTGTTCAGTTTTAACCTGTATTAGTCATATACAGATGTTTATTATAGCCAGGTGGTCATTATAGACATAAGCTCGATATATACATTTAACGTTATAGACAGTGATCGTTATAAACATGTGATCGTTATAGACAGGTGTTCGTTGTAGACATGTTGCCTTTATAGCCAGGTGGCCGTGATAGACACGTGACCGTTATATACATGTGGTTGTTCCTTAACATGTGCTCGTTATATGCAAAACAAGTTATTTCAACTTATATTAATCACTCCTGTTGGCCAAGATGTTAGTGCGTGGAGGGTATTAAGTGTGTGAGGAAACCTGAGTAACCGGAGAAAACCCACGTGGTCAGGCAGGTGACCCCGACGTGAAAAGGTTGGGGTCTCCTGCCCGACCACGTTGGTTTTCTCCGGGTACTCCGGTTTCGACCCACACTACGACCCCCCACGCGCTGACATCCGGGTCAACAAGAGTGATTTAAAATATGAAAATGCAAAGCCTAAAAAAAACGCAGCTTTTGTTGGCCTCTTTTATTTACTGATTCAGGATACTGCTTTCAGAATGAGATTTTCAGATCAGATAAACTTTATTTAAAGTCGGCAAGTCGAGGAATAACAATAAAACACAAGCTCTAATGAGATTAAGACCGACATGATAATAGGTGAGACTGGGGCAAGTTCGGCCTATTTTTATTTAAGTCCGTTCTGGGAAGTATGGCAGCACGTACGTTTTTGAACATTATTTAACTTTTTCTGGCCGAACGAGCCCCGCCATGGGTCAAGTTCGGACAGGCATTTGGGTAAGTTCGGCCCTCACTGGAATCAGCTTAATTATGGCGTCATAAAGCATGCAACGTCAGATTTTACCGCCAATTTAACGACTTGTTATGTGTTACATGGGCCAAACCAGTCCGGGCCCGAATTGATATTTCAATAAATTCTTAACGTACAGCAATATGGCAATGTGGGTGCTTGGCTTGGCTTTTATGTATATTATTTGAAGCCGGCAGTGTGTTACACGTTTAACCGTAAAATGTTGCAATTCCGTTTACAGAAAATTCGCATAACTAGAAGCGAAATCATGTTTTTCTTTCTGCCCTCTCAAAAGTAATTTTCTCCTGTTACAGTTGTGTGACCGCACAACGCACCAAAAAATACCGTGCGCACACCGTGCATACATCGTTCACACACCGTCCGCACATCGTCCACACGTGGTGCGCACAACTGTGCGATTTAACAATCGTTCGCCCCCTTGTGCGCTTCTCTCCGCACGACTGTGCGATTTGGTAAAATTTGTTGATCAATATTACGGAATGACAAAAATACGGAAGGCCCGTATGCAATAATGTACACTGTATATATTACTGTACTTCTCCCACCTCTATAATTAAGATTATGTACAATTTTACAATGCGTGTAACACAGTATACACTGAACGTTAGACTGTCAATAATTGGTTTGGCTCCTCGGTAACAGAACAGGTAAATAACAATTCGATGAGTGACCGGAGTTTTACCTGGCCTGTGTCTGACACATAGAGCTGATATGTGATACCGTATGACCGTTATGAAAACACAACTGGACGTTTAATATTTGTTATTTGCATTCGTTTTGGTCTATAGCTCCCCTTCACCTGGTTTTCACAACTTGGCGAGTTACGTAAGTGCCAAGGGCGGGTGGAAACTACGGTCCAGATACAAAGTGGCTATGCTTACCTGTGTTGCCGAGACTGTGTTGTAATTTTACATGTGTCGATTAAGGTCCTCTAAAAAACACCAAAATCACCATTTCTAAATTTAAGAAAGTATTGACAGAAAGATAAACTTAAAGATGTAGCTTGAATATAGAAACATACTAAAAATCAAGATTATATGTTTATACACGAAACCGTATTTATTGTTAAGCCAATCCTCAATTTACACCAACCACGATTGTTATCGCACAACGTTGGTCGATCGTCCGCACAAACGTGCGCAAGCAACGATCGTCCAATTTTGTATCGTTCACACACCGTGCACACATCTTGCGCACACCGCACATCGTGTAACGTTGTGCGATCCCACAACTGTAAGTAATTTTACATAAGAGTTTTCCTCGCCATTTTTTTTGTTCAATGCCAGGCCAACTAAACTGCTAAGGTCCTAAATATGGAAATGATGGAAATAAATATCAGGAGTGGCCGAACTTGCCCCTGTTTACCGTACGTAGATTTTTGTATCATTGATGATTGATAAAAGTGTATTCACAATATACTTTTAACATCAATGACGCCATTTTCTTCCTGTCAAAGCTAAAGTAGATATTTGTTCTTGTGCGTAACGGATATGATGGGTCGGATGGCGCAGTGGATAGCGGCTCGTCTTCACCAAGATCTAGATGACCGGATTCAATCACAGTCACCTGCCTGACCTGCAGGTTTTTCATATGATTGTACACAATATAGAAATAGTATTTCTTTTAAACTTCTTTGATTTTGAATTAAAGAAAATGACTGGGCTTTGTATTAATACTGGGTACACAAGTAAAAGTCTTATAAATGTTGAGTGCAATGAGTTATATCATATAAATGAGTTATAACATATAACAAGTTAAACTTTAAATTTGAATTAATTTTATTTCAGATTCGAGATAAATAGTTTATGTCATGGCTTCGTGTTTAGCCTCCATGAAAAAGGACAAATATACTGTATATTTGTGTATGACAACCAATGAAAGATGCTCTGTACAGTATGCTTATTGTCAGTGTCCCATTGGGTAAGTATTTTATAAAATAAAGCTCCTTCTCCCGGTGGAAAATTACATTATACAGGTTTAAGAAAATTACATAACTGTGAAATTTGGCTCAACAGTATATTAAGTGCAATTTATTTTGTGAAAGACTTTATATTTATACTTGAAGGATGAAAGAAATTATATGTTATCTAGCATAGCAAAATTTAATACTTATTTTAAGAATCTGAACAGTCAAAACAAAATCATCTGGCTATCTAGTGTAGAAAATGTTGATTTTGATATGTAATAATAAACACAGCACAAACATCTTCCTTAGTTAAGATTAATAATTCTCGGCATAAATAACATGTATATAACTACTTTCAGTTTAGCCCAGTTATGTAGCCATATTGGTGGAGTTGTATTTGCATTAAACGGCAAATACAGGCTTAAAGCACTTGCTAGAGAATCAGCTGAAAGCTGCACATCAAAGTTGTGCAACTGGATTGTGCCTAGGAGTGCTCAACAGATCCCAAAGCCTGTTAGTGCATTATCTTTTAACAAACCAAAGCTTGTTGAAGATCCAAAAGTCCGATCAGTAGACTATGATCCTCGCCATCCAAAGGACAGAGTATTTGACATTTCTGATACCCTGGCTAAGCTGAAGGAATTGAAGAAAATCTTCCCGAACACAGGTTTGTAAACATTTCTGATAAACTTGCATATGGTATCAATCTTGGTTCTTGTGGTCATTCTTAGTTGATGTTTTCCTGAAGGATTATATAAACTATCAATTGTCCTGATTTAAAAAAGTAATTTATTAACTTATGTAATATTTCATATAATTAAATCTATGATAAACATACAAGGACTAAAACATGTATCTTTCTTTCATTTTTGACCATACAATTAATTATATCTATTAATTTAGATATTTAATTTGCAGTTTTAAATTTAAAATAAAAGCTATAAAAAAATCAATTCAGGCACACAATCAATTATGAAATTCCATTCAATCAGTTTCAACACTATAGTATGTTACATAAAACACATATGTTGTTGGCCCTATCAGGAGGAATCGTTAATGTAAACATTACTTTTTTACATTTTAGGAATGAGTCACTTATGGAATATTCCAGATGAAGTACCAGATCTTGTACATAAAGAAGTTGTTGAGACGGTAGTTGAGACGGTTGTTGAGACAGTAGTTGACCAAATGTACAAACAGATGAAAATGATTGTGTTTGCTGTAAATCATGGTATAAAGCATAAGGTACAAATATTTAGTTTGCACAGCTGTTGTATTTTGAGAGATGTGGAAATAAGAAAAAAAATGATCAAGAAACATGTGCAGTATTATATCATGTGCATTTTTGTTGGAACAACCCTTTGATTGTTGTTCTTTATTCAATATCTAGCAAAATACACTTGCATGGAGAATTGTCCAAACAGTCTGCAGATGTGCAAATCAACAAAGTCAATAAATCCCATACAACAACTATAACTTTTTTTTAACAAATTCAATGCATTTCAATGATTAAATCTTGATAGCTTGAGCTCATGCAGACACCACCCATTTCTACTTTGGGAGTACTAGTACATAATGATATTATAAAAATACTATAGATGAGGAGTTAGTGACTTATATAGAGGAGTCAACAAGAGGTCAAAGGAAGTCAGCAATGCGGCTTAATCTTCACAAAGGCAGAATAACTAGCTCTTTGTTTGGACAGCTTCTGAAAGCTGGTAGCAATCCTAACAGTTCGATTAACCAAATCATTGAAGGATCTTCCCTTGACAGGTATTTTAACTTAATCTTTTAGCACAGACCAACCAATTTGATATCTACTTCTTTACTTTTTTATGTTTAAATCCTACATTNTGAATTATGTTTGATGCTATCTTTGTCACTGACATGATGTCCAAACTTGTGAAATTGTATGTTGATCATGTATTACCAATGTTACTCTCTAGGAACAGCACTTCATCGAATTTTAAATTTAATATTAATTAGGGCCCGCAGATATGCTAATTCACTAAGAAAGCACTCCAAATCAATGTTGGCAAGGGAGCTAATTTATTGATATTTACACATGTAATAGAAAGCTCTGAAATCTTCATGTTTATTCATATATGTAATCGTATATGTTATATAGAAAAGTACTTAACTATAATCTGATAAACGTAATTAAAAGGAACAATATATGACAATAAGAAAATGAGTAATTTATTTGGGGGGGGGGGACAATTTCTTTAACTGCTCATATAGGGGGTGTCATGTTTGAAAGCAAACTATTGGCACACAGCACACAAGACAACAACCAGAGCAAACACAAATGCATCAATTCATACATAAAAAATCTCATTAAACCAGGAGTGAAACCAGAGGCTCACAAAATTGACACACAAGTCAATATGGAAACTTTCAAATACTCATTTTAATGGTAACAAAATATAATGTTCTAGAAGGTATTTTGAATATTGTCATGATACTAAAGGTACGTCAAAATTGGTTAACCAACAAGCTACTTGAAAGATTTTGGATGCCTGTGGTGCTAATGAAATTGGCAGAACACCATCAAAAATGTGAAATTTTTTCACACGTCCAATAGATCTTTCAACATGTATACGCAATCTTGCTATTTCTTGTGTTTCAAAAACCTCAGCTGTGGAAAACTGTGCTGCAACACCTTTGAATGGAGGAATGTTTAGTGTACAACCTTTTTTTTAAGAAGGTCTCTAATTGTGAACCCTTTATCTGCAATTATACTGTCATTCTCTTGCAACAAATCTAAGATCCCAGATTCAATGGTAATTTGTCTGTCTGAAACTCTACCACCCCATCCTTCAGATACAAATGATATAATGCTTGATGGAGTGATACCAATTAGAAATTTCAATGTGTTGTGATGTTTGTAATTGGAGAAAGTTATAATTTGATTTTAAAGGCTGCTTGATCTTTGTACAAATATTTCAGTGCAGTCAATGATTGTTCAAACAGAAGGATATTTTTTCTTGAATATGTCTGGCATTGTTCTGTCAACATCTTGGCGACTAGGGAAATGATTTCACACTTTAAGCTCACAATGAAAGAGGGAAATCCAAGTGGAAAAAGTATTTAGAGAAAGTTCCTGCCGAGATACCAAATCTGTCTGATATATCCTGGACAAAAAGGCCTAGCCGTATCCTCATCAGAACTGCAAATAGCTGATCAATAAGATATTTAATGACCCTATGCTGGACCTTGTTCTGTCAGGCTGGTTCTGACTTTTACCTCCACTCCAATAGGTCAGATGTTCAGCTTTTGGTCTAAGAAACCTGTAATATGATGAAAATGGTTTAATTTCTCCCCTTTTTAAGGTTACAAAGCACAATTATAAAACCATGCTTATCTCTGGAAAAGAGGGGAATTATCAGGCATTGCATGACCAAAACTCTAATCATACACTGGTGTTGACCTCAGATTAACCTTTTATTGCAGTTAGGTAAATAAGTACAATATTTTTTTAAAAATCAAGATTCTTTCTATGTTGACAGCATCATACAACATAGGAGTTCCATACAGCAGAGTAGCGCCAACCCCAATCATTTATTATTTGACTTTGTTCAAATATTTACCAAAATTGAGTGACTGTGTTTATTACGACAATTTGTACCTAAAAAGCCAAAGGAAAACTGCAAAAGTTGGCAATCCAGTGTAGAATTTGGTGCTTGTTTCATTGTCTTTTATCTGCTCTGTACTCCATCTTGATTTAAGCAGCTGTTCCTTGTACCTTTGAAGCTCCTCATTCAGGATTTTATTTTCTTCGATCAACTCAAGAGGTTCAGTTTGGCATTCTGAATATTAACAACCTAGTTTACACAATGGTAAAAATCAACCGCCACCACTGAAATACTGTTTTTTTTGTGTGCTTGCTAAACCTTGAAGTAGCATATAGTGTCATACATACATGTGCAAATTTTATCATAAAGTCGATGGTTTGACACAAATAGGAATTGATGATATATTTAAATCAATTGATCAATTCAATCATTTGCAAATACCATAGATAAATTGTTTATTTATAAAATTAGTTCAGATTTCAAATACTGAAGTAGATCCTAATAAAACTTAAGAAAATGATAAAATGTACAGTGCATCTGGGAGTGGGCATCATACAATTCAGCTAAAGGAATTTGTACATTATTCTTAACTAGCAATAAGCTTAGTCATACCATTGTCTTGGAATGAAATAATGTCTGAATCATCTGTTTGTTTCAAATTCCATATGGCAGTTTCTGTATGCTCAGGTGATGATACTTCACAATAGGAGCGTGTAAAGACAGAAAACATTTTATGTTGATCCTCTGTGTATTTCTTTGCCTTCTCTGCTTCAACAAATTCCTACAATTTATATGTACAATGTACATGTATATAAATTGTATTCAGTACAAATGGTACAAGATGTGTATTAAGAATAACACTAGATTCTGTGTTTATACATGCAAGTATAAATGAAACTCTCTATTTTTGATAAACAAAACAAAAACCATTTAGTTCCTATTTTGTTTTATTTATTTATCTTATTTTTGTGTATTTCTATACCCATTCCTTCTTGATAAGTGGATGTTATGTTTGATAGATCAAGTTACTGATTTTAATGAAAAACTAAAATCATGTGACAAATATTTTCCTTACATATGTCATAATGTAGTACATGTATATCACAATTCTACATAAAAATATGTTATGTCTTTTTATACATCCATGCAGACCTTGAAATAAATTACTTGATCTTTGACACTTTTGGGTCAATATGATTTTAAAAAATGTTTTGAGTTTAAGATACGTATGTACATTATTTTAATACAACACCACATCTATGTTTGTGTTACCCTCTGTTCCCTAGCTTTTTCTGTTGGTGTCGATCGTTTCTCTTTATATTGAAATTGTGTTGGTCGATAATTGACGTCCTCGTAATCATAACTGTGCCACCCTCCCTCGAAATGTGTGGAGCAAATGTAGCTAGCATTCGTCGGTGTCCACCTGTCACGGTTTACAGCCTTTATCCATGCTAAACGTTTTTTCTACGGGAAAACGAAAAAAACTTATTCCCTGCTCCTTGCCACAAGCATCAGCTCTGTTGAAACATTTGAAAACAACACAAGATCGTACCATTTCTTGCGTCTGTGGTTACCAAGAACGTACTCGCGGAAGTGGTTATGCGCATGTCCAGATAGTAGGACCGCAGTTAATGTGAAAGAGACTATTATGTAAAGTCTATAACCAGACTTTCAAAAATATTAAAGTTTTCGTTCATATTCTCAACAAATGGAAATCAAAAGCTGATGAAATATGTAGATGGTGAAAACATAAATGTACACGTAGACAAGTCGATTGGTTTAATGCCGGCTCTTTTTGAAGATATCTCCCGGTAGAAA